AATTTGCTTGGGGAGCTTAGGAATACAGCGTTGAAAGTCTTACCCCAGTGAGGAATAGAAGCGTGCGTATATTCAACGTTGAATTGACGTCAGAATATTGAAAAAACGTGGATAAGACGAATCGACGTCGAAGAAAATGGTCCCGGCATTTGGGCCCGGGTGGGCCGCCGCCTTCACACAGCTGTTTGGCGGGTTGGCCTACCGAGCACCTGGTAGGCGCTATCCTTATCGTGGTTCTGTGACAACCTAAATGGAAAAGTAGGATAAAAATTATGACAGTTACCAAAGTGCAAGTAAAACTGGCAAAAATGTCACAAACATTTTGAGCTATAAATATATATATTTATAAAGTATTACGCTATTCATATATTTAAAGGTATCCCTTTTCTTCCGCCAAGAAAACAACTGACTGCGCGACCTTGAAGAATTCTGGTTCCGCCAGTGTTTGCTTCCGGTTGCATTCGTGCCGAGTGGCGGCAAACAGCTGTCCGGCCGTCTTCTGTTCAGTTCTGCCCTCTGATTTTTTGCTCTGCACTCGACGAGTGTTTGTGTCATCGGACTTGTTTGCCAGTCAAAGCCACTCGCACACCCACTCTACACTTTGGTCGACGTGCCCGTCCGTGACCCTGTCGCCCGCTACAACCCCTTCGATTTTGACTTTCCTTCAAAATGTCTGACAAGAAAGTGGTACCTAAATATGTGCCGTTTGTCGTCGGCGGTTCTGCGGGGTAAGTACTCATTCCCTCATTATTAGCTATTGATTATTGAATGTGTCGATAAATTTCATGTGTGCTACCGGCGTCAGGTCCAAAGGGGCAGGTCAGGTATTCGGCCTACTTCCATCTTGTCCCTCATAAAATGCCCTTCTAGCCCTGTTCTGCCTCAGAAGAATGCCGTGTCATACACCCATTTCTAGCTGATTTCATTAGATTGTTAAACATTTTATGATGTGACAGTCAGCACATAAATTTTTCTCATAAACTTAGCTTTACTCACAATGAAAGCTCATTTCAAAATATTCCTTCACATTTGGGGGTGTCAATTTGCAACAGAACGGTATGTTTCACTTTGCGATTTAATCATCTTTTAATTTATTTTTTTAAGGATGATGGCTACCTGTTTTGTCCACCCTATGGATGTTGTGAAAAATCGCATGCAAGTCAGTGGTATTGGCAGCAAAGTAAAGGAATACAAAACAAGCTTCCATGCTGCTGGTGGTATCCTTAGAAATGAGGGCGTAACTGCACTCTACTCTGGCCTGTCTGCTGGATTGCTTAGACAAGCCACTTACACTACTGCAAGACTTGGAGTTTTCAATGGGTTGACTGAAAGAGTTTCGTAAGTAACCCACTTGATACTTGATGCGATGTCTTATTCTAAGTTTTTCTTATTGTTTTCTAAATTCCATAGGAAAGATGGAGCACCTCCTAGCTTTGGAGTGAAGGTTTTAATTGGACTCTGTGCTGGAGCTGTTGGTGCATTTGTTGGAACTCCCGCTGATCTGACTCTAATTCGTATGACAACTGATGGAAGGTTACCCCCTGCTGAGCGCCGTAATTACAGTAATGCTCTTACAGCGCTTGCTCGTATTGCCAAAGAAGAAGGAATTTTAGCTTTATGGAAAGGCGCTGTACCTACAATGGGTCGAGCGATGGTTGTGAATGCTGTTCAGCTCTCTACTTACCAGCAAGCTAAGCAACAGTTACTTACCTCAGGTACAGCTTCTAATTTTTGGACAGTGCCCCTAAACTGTCTTCTGTGCTCTTTTTCTCCATTTGTTAATGTTGTCACATTTTATCCTCTGTAGGTTACTTTGAAGAAAACATCAAACTTCACTTCTGTGCTAGCATGATTTCTGGTCTTGCAACCACCATTGCTTCTATGCCACTTGATATTGCCAAAACAAGGTGAGTGCTGTATTTGATTTATAATCAACAAATTTATCATGGTCCTTAAAGCTTAAGAGATAACAGAAAAATTTTCTTTCCCTCGTTTGATTTTCAGAATTCAGAATATGAAAGTAGTTGAAGGTAAACCGCAGTTCACTGGAACTATTGATGTTCTCTCGAAAGTTGTCCGTCATGAAGGAGTTTTTGCTCTATGGAAGGGTTTCACCCCTTACTATGCTCGTCTTGGGCCCCATACTGTACTCACTTTCATTTTTATGGAACAGCTCAACCAATTGTACAAGAGTTTGGCTTAAAATCATAAATTATGCAATTTTCTGCCAATTCACATCTAAATTCTGGCATTTTGGTTGTTCTACATTCAACTAGATTTTATTTTTTTAAGCTGTAGGCAATTCATTGTTGTTGTTTTTTTTGTTTTTTTTACTGTTTTACAATCACAGGCCTGTATATTTTTTCTATTTTTATGTTTTTAAATGAAACATTCCTTTGTGTAATCCTCAGGTATTATGAAACAATGATGTTTTTAACAGCCTTGCTCGCCATACCAGCTGGGCATGTCAATTGCTGTTCATGGGTTTTTAAGTTTTCTCAATTGCATGCAATATCTGCCCTAGTTTTGCACAGCAAGAGACTAATAGAAGAACTCAACTTTTTGAACAAAATTCAACTAAAGTTGGCCTAGTCACGCATTTTTTCTTTTTTTACCAGATTTTAGGATTGAACTTTGTGGAAGGTTTCCTGGCTATCATTGTAGTCATTTAGACTTGAGTTACCATGATTATGTAAGTAAATTACATGGTCTTGCCATTTTTGGAGCTATTTTCTTGTCAGACATTGTAGTTTAATAATGTGGGCCGTGGTTATGGATGATTATTAAGTAAAGGTGCCGAATTTTAACCTCTGTGTTTTAGTGAAGACAATAAGTAGATCATAAGTGTTCTTTGTAATTTAGCTGTGTGTACTCACTACAGTATTTATTAGGTGAAATAGTTCTTTTGAACAATTTGCGCAACATTTACAGCATTTTATCTTCATGCTATGAAGTCTTGACATCCTGTGCAAACATCATTGAGGTGAATTTTACATTGTAAATAGCATTTATAGGTACTGATTATCGTATCTGTTGTTAAAATTATCAAGATTATTTTTTTTGTTAAATATACTCAAAAGGAATCTCTAGATTTGTGTTCAGCGTTTAAACCAGATACTACCCGAGTTAAAATTTCAAAAGTACTTCAACGATATTTTTAAAATTCTTTTTAGATTTGAATTGAAAGGCTTATCATGGTAGTGAATACATATTTTTACTATGGCACACAAGTCAAACCACAAAATGTGTCAAATAGCAATTTTGACTTGAATGGAGGTTTTATGTTTGTCACTGGTATTGGTCATCTCTACAAAGACATCAAGCTAGTATATTAAAGACTAATTGAATCAAGATATTGTGATACACCATAAACACTAATTTACAGCATCAAACAAAATGAAAATTATAGCAATTGCTTGCTCCTATAGAGCAAACAGCTTTTTGTAATTTTATCCATTGAATGATCTTTGCATAATGTAGCTACAGCCGCTTAGACAAAAAGGAATGCCTTTAATATGTGTGACTAGTACAAAACAAATCAGCACAGAAATTTGCAACATGGCATTGTTGGACGGCACTGCTTGATACCCAATAAGGTTTCATGAAACACTATAAACAAAGTATTTATTAATGCTTTTACACTTAAAAATACCAGACTAAAGGAACAGAAGGAACACTTAAAAAATGCACTTCTGGACCCCATTAAATCTACTAAAAGCAATGACAAAATCAATCAAAAGGAGAGTTTTAACAATGTAATCATTGGAATAACAGGTAAATTGAAAGCAAAATTACCATACAAAAGGAATTATAGTTGTTCACAATGATAAATGTGATTTTTTAAACTTTCTTTTACTGTGCCACATGGTTTTGGTACCACAGGAAAAATGATTGAGCTGACAGGAACCCTAAGCAGAACATCAAATAAGGACAAACTAATATCACAAATTCTGTTATTGGCACGGTTACAATATTTGTTTTTAAAAGTATATGTATATGTTGATTAAGTACAATTGTAAGGGTTGTAACTTACAGACATCCTTACGAAAAGGGCAGTTTGTATTGGAAATTAAAGGACAAAACACTTCTTGCGCTCAAGTTGTTCACATAACAACACATCCAAATATATTTTCTTAGCAGCTTAAACAAATTGTTGTCCTCATCACCAATAATGGTGAAATGCTTACTCTTATAGCACCATATTAAAACACTACCTACACTACAGCACACTCAACTTTAATTTAAAACAATCCAAAATTTTCATAAGAAAAGGTGAATTTAGTCTGATGAGGCCTGAGCTGCTCCGAGAAGCTCTTCAGTTGCTGAAAGAGAGAGCTAGGTGCTTCAGCTTCGGCTTCATCAAACTAAATGCACTTTAAGTGGAATGTCTATGATTTGTTTGTTTTTATTTCCCCCCACCAATGGCAGTATACAAATCATATCACAGCCTCCAATTTAAATATAGCAGAAAGGTAAAAACATATTACCTTTCCATAACAAGCACAATTCTTTATCTAAAGCTGACCCTTTGTGAAATGTTAACAGGAGAACATAATCCATGCTCTTTCAGTACATTGTGCATTTGTAATTACCTAAATCTATAAACACATAAATAACACATCTCTCTTTGGTTGTTTTTGTAGATTTTTGAAAAAGTTTAAATATATGTCATGTGGCACTCGTAATTAAATTGAACAATCTAAGGATGATTAGTGCAGGCGTCTTTGTAATTAGATGCATTGAATGGGACAAAGTAATCATCATGTAAAAAGCGAACTATTGACTCAATAGGACATAGATATGAAGAGTTATTTTTGCGGTGAGAGGAAGATGAAATATTATAGGCAGGATCAGCATCTTCACCATGCGACCCGTGGTGAAAATGAGGATTGACAACAGTAGAACCACCATGACGGCAACAAACAACGTGGTTGGTAAGGTCTCTCCCATTAAATACAAGTCTAAAGAAGTAATCTTTGGCAGCTGGGCCATCATCATGCTGGGAAGATCCCACTGGGTCACCAGTTGATGTTTTCTCTGCATTGCGGCTGCGGTAAACCTATGAAAGGCATTCCCATTATGATATAGACATCACAAAACCTGCAATCAAATCTAAAAAAATCATACATACCTCCAGAACAAGTCTTGAAGCATAATGTGGGGCTGCTGTTTCCGCAATGACACCAAGTGCTCCTGACAGGTACTGCAATGTTTTGTCATGTCCAGAATAGATAACAATTCGAGGCTTTCCTTCAGACACCATTTTCAATAGATAGCCAACAACACTTCTGAGCAAACCATAAGCTCGAAGGAGACATGACCGTTTCAGACTTTGACTTTTAACATATAAACGTTCCTCCCATTCAGTGTAGGCAAATAGACTGGTAACCTGTTCTGGACGAACACACACCTCCTAAAATGAAGAAAATTTTTATGAGCACGTGTTGGAGAACCTACAAATGAATCAAGCAACAAAGATGCAAAATAACTTACTTTGTTTAAAAGTCCAATATCAATACATGGCAGTGGTGCACCATGACAGACATAGGCAAGAAGAGCATCCCTCAGAGCATGAGGATCAGATAACAGTGTTTTATCAGGCGATTCATATACAATTGATGCTGCAGAGCGAACCAATTTCATAACAGCTGGATGTGATCTAAAATGGTCTGCAGCCTCTACACTAACTTGATGTCGGTACTTTTCTGCTGCAGGGCATGCACAATCATTGAAACAAAAAGCCAAACTTTGACTTGGTCGAAGAGTCACCTAGAAATAAAAGCCCTTATTATACTGTTTTTAATAAATTTGTAAATAAATGGCCAGTTTTTATTATTGTTTCTACCTTGTGTAAGTCTTCAAGGGAGAGGAAACTGTAAAGGAAGGCAAGAGCACTCTGGAAGGTTCGCCTGTAATGAGTACTATAGACAACTACATCTTCTGCAGTTAAGGAACCTTTACCAATGCCTAATTTGTCGGCATATGCAGTTTTCAGAATGTGTCCAGTTCTGTAAAAATAGTTTTGTTACCAGATTTTTTTTATAGTTACATCCATGTTTGTCTTTTTAAAAAATAGAATTTTATGACAAATAATTCTACAAGTCTTTTGATATTTTTTCCTTAAAATTGAGTTTTGAATTCTATAGTTGGGTGAATACCTTAAAAGTTGAGTGACTCCAACTGGTGTAAGCTGTCCCAAACTGCATTCTCCGCTACTAGGAGGTACTAACGGAAAAGCATGAAATGGACCAAGAAGCTGCCACAGGAAATTGTTGCTGAGCTTGTCACTCCCACCTCCACCTACACCAAGCCCAGCAGCCAGTGATGCATTTTGAAGGAAGGCCTCATAAGCAGCATAACCAGCATCCCAGTCACCGTTTGTGATATCAGGGCTTAGCAGGTCACCAGCACAGTTGACACTGCTTATATTACGCACGTGCATAAGTGGTCCACGATCTCCATGCCGTAGAAATACTACAGCACCCACAAGTGTGTAGTTATCATCCACCTGGCCTTGAACAGAAGAAAGTCTGGAGTGAAGCTGCGCTTGGAATTTTACAAGGCTGGAACTACAATGGAGAGGTAAAATAATAAGTGGTGTGATACCTTCACTGCCGAGATTGATATCCTCTGGAGGATTGCAAAGACGATATATTCGCCGACCTTTAATTTCAGGTTTGAGATCTTTTGGGAAACCTCTGACAAAGATATCATTTGATGAGTGCTTATATCCTTGGGCAGCATCTTCTGTTCCAATATATTTATACATTCCTATAAAAATATTCAAGTTAGTGTAGCGCTTTCACTTTAAGTTAAGAAACAGCAGAAAAGTAAAAGAACACACCTCCAACCATGAGAAAAATCCAGACA